TTTGAAAAAAAAAAAAAAATTTTCAGCGTATTGTACCAATTTTTGGCTACACACACTCGTGAAGTGATACTGTAGGGTCTTATATTAGAAAGCACACACGTACAGTGCTACTTTAGGACCTAATTAGAAAGTACATACATAATAGTTGAGTTCAAAAAGTCTTCTCACACTGAAAACTTTCAATCTAGCCTCTAATGGTGCTTTAAAGTTTGCGCAATGATTGGTTACGTATGCGTTAAGTTCTTGTTTCATAAATCCACACTCCTATACAGTGCTCATATTTTCTCTCTAGTCTTTAGACTAGTTGTGGATACTACAACTAAAGCACGTTAAATTGAGCAACCAATACCAAAGAAAATATCGAATTGTTGTGGCACTCTGTAATAAACAACTCAATTTCACTGTTGATTTAAAAGTCAGGCCACTTATTCGCCACTTTATATAACCAATAAATATCAACTCATGTGACAAATAGCTCATAAGAGACCAGAATATAAGTACACATATGCAATATAGATAATGACTTGAAAAAAAAAAAAATGTAAATATTTGCCAGCAATTACAGCTCACTTGAGGCGAGTTTTGCGTTGCGTTTGAGAGTGCTGCTGCCAAAGCCGCATATCCAGTCAGAGAGTTATAACCACAAATATGACAATGACTTAATTGTCTATTGAAACGATTGCAGCTGCCATTAGTTTTTAATTTGTTTCAGACAGAAAAAAGTGAGTAATTATGTTCGCAATTCAGTAGCTGTATACTGGTGTAAAGTGCTTCAGCTGAAACAGGTAAGTGTCATGTGTGCTTATAAATGTGTCTGTATGTATCATATAACTAATACGCTTAACGTAGTTAATTGGAAATAATTTGCTGATTCAAGGGAGTAATTATTGTGGAAGTTAAGAGAAATTTCAGTTTACGGATGAATTTCGTATACTATATGATGCACATTAGGGTGGTTGTTAAGAGCAAATGACCCAAGTAGAGGCACTTTTTGAATAACCTTTTCTTGACAGATCACGTATGAGTCGCGTCAAGCTGTCATGTTATTTTTCATTAGTATTGTTTGGCATTTGAACATGGAAATGTTCATGGTTTACAAATCGTCCAACTTTATTACGAACATCTGCCGACTGAGCGTATTATTCGCAACACCATCACAAAGTTGAGACCCAGCATTCATTATTGGATAATATTCGACCGAATAGACCACGTCCAGTACGCAGTGAAGAGCATATAGCAGCCGTAGCCAAGAGTGTATACGAAGGCCGTGGAGAGTCGACTCGGCGCCGTTCATAGCAACCCGGACTGACGTATGGAACGATTTGGCGCATTTTACGTCGAGATCTTAAATTTAATTCGTATAAAATATAACTTGTGCAAGAATTGAAGCCGCCATCCCTTCCCAAGAGATGTCGCCTCGCTCTATGGACGCTTCAAAAATTCCAAGAAGATTCGCCCAAAAAAAAATTTAAAATTTGTTTAGCGATGATGCCCATTGCCGGCTCAATCATTCAGAAAAAACAATAATTTCGTGTGGTTGTAGAATCATCGGTCCATATTTCTTCAAAAATGATGCTGGTGAGAACGTCACTGTCAACGGGGACCGTTATTACATAACTGACATTTGTTATGCTTGAAATGAAAGCTCATAATTCCGGCCACATTTGGTTTAAATAAGAAGGCGCCACTTCCCACACATCGCATTAACCAATGTATTTTTTGAGAGAACAGTTCGGTGAGCAGATAATTTCACATTTTGGCCCGGTCGATTGGTCACCAAGATCTTGTGATATCGCACCGTTAGATTTCGGTGGATATGTAAAGTCTAAAGTCTATGCGTACAATCCAGCTGCGATTTAAGCCATGGGAAAAACATCAGTCGTGTTATGCTCCAGTTACTAGTCAAAATGTTTGAACAAGTCATCGAAAATTGGATGGACCATCTGAGACGTAGCCGCGGCCAACATTTGAAAGAGATAATCATCAAAAAATAAATGCCAACGAGTGTTCCTTTGAATGATAATGAACATTTCTCATTAAGTTTGAAGTTTCAGTGTTTTTTTTATTTTAAAAAGTAGGGAGTCTCGAAATGGATCAATGTTATCGGGCTTCCGAAACTTCACATAGAAATTGTGCTTAGAATATATTAAGATGAACTAACAGGAAACACTGCATACACTTTCAGGAATCTCATCTAAGTATCTAAGTATGCTTCTCATATTTTTAGGACATACTGTTTACTTAGGAACAAAGCTTATACCGCTAGCGCAACTAATCAAATGATTTTCGTAATACCCTAACGCAACGGTAAGCATAACTAAAGGCCAAATGCGCAACAAGTGTATGCTATTTATTAAAAAAAAAGAAAATAGTAAAAAAAAAACAGAAAATAGTAAAACAAAAAGAAAATAAACACAAGTGGATAAGGACATAAAGAAATAGCAGCGAGTTAAAAACAATGAGAGATAAGTTAACTCACGCTGCAAGTGGCTGAGTACATTGCCGCCTATAGGTGACTGTGAGCGTGTGTGTGTGTGTGTGTGTGTGTACGTGAAAAGCAATAACAGCTAAATGGCGATTTTTATGGTGATTGCGAAAAATTGAATAACAAAACAGCGGTAATGCATGAAATGAAATGAACAAAAATAGAGAAAAGCCATGGCTTTAACGATAAAAGGCAGTCATAGCCGTAAGCAGCAAAAGTAAGTTAAATGCATATATAAAAAACAGGAAAAAAAAGAGCGTAGTGATAAACAAAAATAAACACCGTTGCTGTTGGCTGGTAACCTCACAAGCGCATATGCATATGCACATGTGTGTGTGTGTCGAGAGGTGCATGCGCGGCGCGGAATGTGTGACCGTTCATTGCATGTGTCGGCAAAGCTGCATTCGCCTTATTCGCCTTGCATACATGTTGCACAGAAAAAATATTCACAGGCCAGCAACGAAACACGCGCTTGATTGTTGTTGTTATTATTATTATTAAGTATGATATTAAGTTATCGGCTGTTATCGTGGCTTGAGCTAAGTAAACAAATGAATCAGTAGCATTCTATAAACAAATGTACATATGTATGTATGTATGTGGTTGCATACGTATATTGTGTCAACTGCAGGAAATAACACAGTAACGCCACACAGCTGAGTAACTGTAGATGAGTGTATTGGATGCCTGAAGGCGAATGCAGTGCGAAAAGTGCATTGCAATTGCAATGAAAGTCACGTATGTAACAAGAGCGATGGCTTACAGCTTTGCGTTGCGAAAAAAAGCCTTTGCTTGACCAGGCTGTACCTGTATGTAGTTGTTGTTGTGAACCTGTTCGCCGTGCAACCCACACACATTACTAGATCGCCAGTCATTCACACAATTCATTTGGTTCGATTTTTGCCAGTCAAAAGCCGTTAGCTCGTGAAATATTCCACGCCGCTTTGCATTCCTGAAATTCGGAATACATTGAGCCTACGTGCATAATATGTTCATATGTAAGTTGCAAATTTTGAAATTGTCATTTCGCGTGGGTTTATGAAAAATATGTCAATTTTAGCAGCAGGTTCTTCACAGACAGCTGGTTACTGGCATTTTCCAAATCTTTGTGGGAAAATTTGAGTTTGCGTACTAACTTTTTCACGTTAACTACAAATATGTTTTGAGTTTGGCAAGGATTTGGACGAGCTCGATAATGACAGTGTTATGTGTTTGGAAATTTCAAGTAGAGAATTAGAGCAAGATATCTTTTAGAGCGGTACAGAGGCTATTAAACTCTTCCTAAAAATATCGAACAAAGAATTTGTCTCAAATTTGTATTTCTAACCAAATTTCGTGAGCGGAATCATTGCGAATGTTGAAAAACGTCTACGGTGATTCAAAAACACATGTCTACGAGTGGTACAAAGCCTCCAAAAACGGTCGAGAGATGGTTGAAGGCATGCGTCGTTCTGGACGACCTTCGATCCCTACAACATGTTGCTTGAAAATCGTCAGGCAAGCGTTAGAGAGATAAAAAAATTTACTGAAGGAGCTGAAAACCATCCCAAAAATAGTTTACTTACTTTTAAAGTATAACTTTGAAGACCACAAAATAAATATAGATGAATAACTAAATATTATGCGATTTTTTGTCAAAATGCAAATAAATCCTGAAAAATATTTGTCATGAGTCTTGACGCCGAGTATATGTAACTTACATTTTCAAATGATATGGAGTATATATAATTATATGTATATATCATCTAGTTGGAATACTAGAAGATTTAACGCACTCTTATTAACAGTAAACATAGAAGAAAGACCATCTTTCATTTCCGCAAATAAATAACAGTGTGAAGAGTTTTGTTTATAAAGTGAATTCGACGGCAATCCGTCTTAAGCGGCATTAAACACGCTATATTGCTTTGTAGATTTCTCAAATGAACAAATTTATTGATTCATCGATAGTATAGTGGTTAGTATACCCGCCAATATTTCAGGAATTATTACTTTGTTATGTATACATACTTTATTGACGCAAAAAGCTAGAACCAATCAAGCGTTGTCAGTATTGTTGAAAGGCGATAATTAATTGATACTCGTTTATATGACGTGCCTCACCCTTAAGTGTTTAATATTAATAGCGCGCGAAACTCATTGCCACCCACATGTCTCAAACTGGTTTAGGAATCGTAAGACAATCTGCTTTGCATGCTCACAACGTGCAATGCGAAATCTTATTTACAGCTAAGCCTTTCAGCGCAGCATATTATATTTCTTTACTTGATTTATCTACCTCGCTTCCAATTAAATCATTTGCCATTTTAATGTGCTTCGTTCACATAGCCATAAAATACAGCGACTAATCGATCGATCACAAGCACCTACACAAAAATGTGGAAAGCGTGATAAAACCAGCGCTGCAAGCTTTTCACTTGTGCCTCGACTATTCTACGCCAACTCGTCGTCGTCTGCTTATGCTACTTTGATGTATTATTAGTAAATAGTGTAGCCATTTAAAAACTGGACTTACCGGCACGAAATGTGGCAAGTTATCCAATACTTGCAACTTATCGATACGTTGTTTTATGCGCTCACGATGGTGTGGATTTTTTATGCCGACCGCTGTCAAATCTTCGGGGGTCATTCGTGCAATGGTCGGCAAATCGTAACCGGCCGCTATAAACAATTGTGCATACTCCTCACACTTCATCTCCATTAGCCAATCGATTATGAGTTCATCGTTGCGTTGCCGATCGACACTACCAATCGAACATGAACTCACCGAACTGCAACGTGGCGAGGAGAGTGCACCGCCCGCACTACCACGTATCGATGCACCCGACACACCAGTCAAATACGATGAAGCACGACCCGAATCCAAGCTAGCTGTAGAGTGTCGCGAACCAGAACCAGCTGAACCCGACGACGAACCGGGCGAATCGCGACCTGGCGATTGTGTCAAATCAATACCCTGATCCTCTTGCAGCGCCAATTGTTGATGATAGTAAACGGCCGCTTTGTGTGTGAGCGGTTCGCGTAGTGTAGCGCAAAACACGGGCGGTGGACATGGCACTATTGTGGGTGGACAACCGCTGAGCAGCGGATTAGTTGCGGTGGATAAAAGTGTTGCGCCACCAGTGGCTACTTGATTAGCTGCTTGTTGTTTGCCAGCTGCAGCAGTGCCGGCAGAGGAGCCCGACGATTGTGATGTGCCTGATGTGGACATGACTGTAGCGTATTCGCTTATTTCATCTACATGAAAAGAAAGGTGAATAGTAAATATAGAAAATCAATCTCAATGAGCCATTGCAAACAAAGTATGACAAATATTGCGGAATGCCTTGCAAGCATATACACACACGCATGCATGCGCACATGACGCATACGCACCTTTCATGCGCAATGCTACCGATGGCTCACGTGGCAAATTGAAACCGCCCTCCTCCAAGGATGGCGACGATACCATGCTACTCATTATGATGCCATCATCCAGCTGTTTGCCAGCTGCACTCGAAATACTGCCACCTAAACGGTATAATGGTATTTGCTGCTGTTGTGGTGCGGGATCTCCGGGTAGCGCAGGTGGTGGTACCTTTTTAGCTTGTGCGTGCGGCTTCAATGATCGATGCATTGCAATGACAACAACACCGTATGGCGTACGGCTGAAACCAGCTGGTTGCTACGATGCGTACGCGCGTTGACTCTAGCGGATTCTGTAAAGAGAGAGGGAGAGGAAGTATTAGTTAGTGTTTTCAATGTTTTGAAGGTTATGTTTTGATTAAAATTCCATTTGAATGAGGAGGAAACATCTGTTGAAAAGGTGTTTTTTTAAAATGTAAATGACTAACGTTTGTTGCACAGACACTTTTTGTAATTTTAATTGCTCTATTGCTGAGTTCATTTTTTTCTAATTAGAAGTTTGGAAGAACTTACATATATGTGACCTGGTCTACGAAAAGGGAGCTAACGTGCGAAAACTAGTTTTCTGGGAAACAGCTGTTAAAAAAAAAGCATCTCATCTTCCATCCGAATCAACTAAAAAGTGAAAATTTATTTTTTGACACCTAAGCCCCCATTCCGTAGACCAGGTCACATATGAATAACATATTTGGGGTTTTATAAGGGTACTAAATCTAATCGCTATAAGTAAAGGTTTAGCAAGATAATCTGGTTACATATTAAAGTTCACTTACAAACCTAATAAGTGCAGCTTTAGGTATAATGAAACTGCTTTGCTATTTACCAATAAAAAGGGGTTCGTCGAGAACCTGTTGTACGAAGTGCTCAACGATATTAATTTTCGGTTCTGTGAGTGAAACCACTTTTAAATTCATTATAACTGAACGGCTAATGTTTTTGGAAATTCTTATGTATTCAACTTCGTGAAATGTATAGTAGTTCCTCGTTAGTATAGCGGTAAGTATCCATAGGTGTAGCTTTGATTAGTTATGAAACTACAGATTGTAGTTTTGAGAAAAGGCAGCTGCTCTATTATTTACAGATTGTATTAGAAAATAAACAGAAATAAAGTCAATACAAACAAATTCACGGAAATCACTTACAGCAAAACAAATAGTATACGAAACGCCTACACATTCACCTCACCCAGTAAGGGGTGTACTATAAAGGGCCGTGGTTAAAACAAAAGCATGAAATAATTGAGTGTGAAGGAAAAAAATGCAACCAAAATTTATACAACAAACTTAAACGCCCGCACATCAGAGCTGCTACTCCAGTGCGGTCCTGAAATTTGATATTGCCTACAATAATACACAAACAAAATTTTGTTTAAAGAAAAAAATGGAAGGAAGAGCTTCGTGTCCGTTAAATGCGCGGCCACTTGACGAGTAGGCGGGCTGATATGTTTTCTTTCTACGAAAATGCATTTTTATAGCGAATGCGTGTACTGAGTGTATTGGGAGAGGGTAATGTCAATACACTCCAACGTAGTGGAAGTCGTCGCAATAACGGTATACCTACATATTTATAACGTTTTGTAGTAGAACGACCAATGATAATTACGTACACGATGACGATGGCTATGACGTTGACATGCTGACGAATATTTAATACGAAAAACTTCGGCTTACTGGTTGTCAGGTGTGGGGCTGACTGTGTATGCGTGCGTATTAATAAAATTGTAAAAGGTCATATTACGATTTCATTCACAAAAACACAAACAAAAGTCGGTTATAATATTGCCTACACGACGAATGATGCCGACCAGCGTACACAAGCTGCCGATTACCATAAGCGCAGGCAAGGAGCGTAGGCGAATGCAAACGACGAACGAGCGAGCTACTGCAACAAAGTGTCACAAGATGCGTGTAGTGTTGTTGTATTCGGCTTATTGAAAGGGCGAGCGCATATTTTGTTGTGGTTAGAAAAAATCTGCTGAATCAAATTCTCCTTGCTGCTTACTGGAATTGAAATGCTGATAAGCAAAAAACAAAAAAACTAAAAAAAACATAATACCGAACAAAGAAAATAAACTAGAGCAACTGCTATTCGTATACACATATGTAGAGAGGACGACAGCCGCAACAAATTTGCTTATGGCCCACTGCTTGATTGCGCCACGTAAACGCCGTCGTGACGCCTTGGTGAGCTTAGCATGCATGCACTTGGTAGTGCTGAGAATGCAATCACCAATCATGTATCACGTAGTCGTCTCATAGACGTTGCGCCCAAATTAATATTGCGGTACAAACGACAGCAAGTGAACGTATGACACGATGTTGGCCAACGGCTCGTGTGTATATGGAAATGACTTTTGAATGCATAATCACGATGTCTACCGACAATGCCGGCGGCGTTTCATGTGCCGGGGTACTGAAGCATTGTCATACCTTTTAATATGTTTATACTGAACGGTGAGCGTACAAATTTGTACAAACATAGTGGCGACGTACGCTGTGAAAGCCATATTAAAATTCGGTGTGGAAATTTATTTCTAAATGCAGTAAATGCAACACACAGCACAGCACGACACACGTGGGCGAGCGATACGGCGCGCATGTGTTGGCAAGAATTGTGCAGCAACAAAAGCTGTCAAAAGCAAAGGTATTATGAGTACAAAAAACGACAAAGTGGGCACACACGAAATCCGAATTGCACTTGGAAGAGACATTGAGAGAAGCGCAAGCGCGCTCCAATGTAAGAGCATGCCATATAAAGGAGAATGAGAGAATTAGACAGCCACAAACTAGCTATACTCATTTATATAAGTAAAGGTATTTCTGTAAAAACGAAAATTGCTTTTATTTGTTGGTATTTGTGTGCATAATGTATGTCACTAAGTGCACAGTAAATTTTACCGGTTTTTTACGATTTCATCTCCTCGTAAATGCCAACACTAATCGACTGCTACAAATTTCAATCAACTGATTTTATGCCTCATGATCAATGCGTCAGCAACAATTTTCACCGAAAAGGGGGTAATGTGGAAAGCGCATAAATACCTAACTAAGCACGCACATCGTACATACGTAGATATGTACAAAATAGATAACTATGCAAAGAAATTGTCAAAGAAATCAGAATTATCAAATATTTGTACAGCAAAGACAAATTGACCGCTCAAATAAAAAGTAGAGAGTTGGAGAAACAACTGTTGAAATCGAACTTTGGAGACGTGTGCCGTATTGTTGTGTAAGATTTTTAAGTGACAAGTGGTAAGGAGTGTATGCCATTAACACTTTGTAAAAGTAACAAGTTGGCTGTAACTGAAGACAATAATAAAAATATACAACACAGTTGATCAGAAAGTTGTTTTTTTTTTTTGAAAGAATACAAAAGCTCTTGGGAGCCAAATAGAATACATATAGTATGTATGTGTTGAAATGAAAAGCAAAGGTACGAACAAATTGAGGTTGACATCTTAGTAAGGTATTTTGTTGAGCTTTCCCTTTAAACAACATAAACAAATCAACGCATTTTCGTGACAAAAATACACTATGAAGTAGACAGAATTTAATACAAAAAATATATATATTTTTTGCATTTTCTTAATGTATAATTTCTTACAAAAATTTTCTGAAAATTTTAAATAAAATAATTCGCAAAGGTTTATCGGCTCTGGTGACCACTACAGCTTTACACAGCTTTTATTGAGTGCAAGGAACTTCAATAATTACAGCCAAAAGACGTCGAAGCATGTAGTCTACCAAGTTCTGAAGAAGCGATTGTTTTATGTATTCCCAGAAGTCCTTCGATCTACTAAGAATCACTTGTTTAGTGGAACGTCAAGAAAATCGGTCGAACTTATCAACCAAATATTCTCATAAATGCTCAATAGGTCTTAAGAGAGGATCTTGGTCAGACCATGGTAAGAACTCTAACCATCGATCGAAATATTCTTTCGACACTCGACTTTTATGTTTGGGGTCATCGTGCTGCTGATATACATATGTATAAAGTTACCTTGTAAGCATCCTCTACAGGCACTAAATTTGTACTCAGCATCTGTCAGTTTACCTTCGACCGTTATCAGGTTTGGTCCAAAATAATTTTTTCCAAAAAGTTGGCGGCAATTGATAGTACTTTTTGGCAAATTCCAATAGCGAGTTAAAGTTCTTTTTTGCTGATGGAAGCGTTTTTGATCTTGTAGGAGCTGGCATAACCTTTTTCTGAAATGTTCGCTCAGAACCACTAATTTGAAGGCTCCTAGAATATTTTTTTGCGGTCTGTACCCCAGTCCGTTTCAATGATTTTCGCATTTCACTAAATAATATCTTATAAGTATTGACTAAAACACCTTGTTGAGATTAAAATGATGTACCACATCTTTCGGGATCCCGATTATTTTCTTCGATAAATATAATAAAATATAAAATAACTAAAATCCCCGAACTTAAAATGGCTCGTATTGCAAATAGTGTAGAACTTTTACTACTTGTGGTAACACGAAATAACTCGCGTGGAATACACAAACCGGCAGTGATGAATTCGTAACACAATCAAGCATAGGAAGTGAGAGCGACAGGTGAATTGAAAATAACTGGAGCACCTGGACGCAGACGAAACGATGAATTTGCGGTGAAGCTCTGGTTAAACACAATAACAAAAAATAAATGGCAACCCAGTAAGGAGTAGCAGTCGGGTAAGATACAATGAAAAGGAGCTGCTAAAGTAATAAAAAAAAAAAACAACAATCAGTATGAAATGCGAGAGGAGTGAACGTATGAGTAGGTGCAAAAAATACACGGCACAGGAAGACGAAGCAATGATTCCAACAAAAAGAGAACCACAACTACAAGCGCCGGTACAGACGTACATACATATGGAGAGAAGCAGCAAAAAACGGGAAATGCCGAAAGGAAAACATGTGAAAAACGAGTACAGAAGTAAAGTAGCGGAGCCATAATAACATATACGGCACCAAAGGAATGTATAAAAGCGGAAATTCGGAAGTGAAACACCGGCCGGAACAAGGATAATGGTAGTAAAATAGTAAAAGGATATGAGTATGAAAACTGGAGTAATAATGTTTTAGTTGGAACAGTTGGAAGAAAAAGTCAACACCGAAGAAAGCGTGTAACACAAAAGGGTGAAGGTGATTAAGAAGGAACGGGAAATGAGTGACGCTAGAGTAGAGTAGAGTAAGCTAGATTTGGTGAGATTTAGTGCTAGAAAAACCTAAGCAGTGCTAAATGATGACGCCAGCTTAGATATTGCACACAAAAGAAATTTGTAAAAAATGCAATTTTATGAT